AGTTTCCTAGGCTGTAATCTTTATGGGAGCAGATCACCAGGCCTTTTCTCCCGAAGAGTGGCTGTTGAGTTTGAACCACCAACCTTTTGGTTAACAGTTGAGTGCTTAACTGTTGTGCCAGCAGGGCTCCTTTATACACATGTAGAGGCAGGTATTACAGACGTCACAGCTAGGTGACTTGAACTATAGTGGGTAACAGATCCAGGAGAGTATGAATACGTCAGCTTAAATCCATCTTTTGGACATGAAAAATAACATTATCATTGTATTTCTAGACCTTTCTTTTAGAAATGTGTGAATGTGAATTTGGTGGCAGGTTACCAAACTCTCACATTTTATCCCATTTGAGCCCTAAAGCTCTGCCATTCAGGTAGTTACTGTTGTAATTGTTTTTTCATAGACTTCTGGCTCTGTGGAGGGAACATGGGAATCTTTGAGCCTATCCATGCCCCTCCTTTTGAGAGGTGCAGAAGCAGACTCAGCCATGTCAGGGGTCTGGTTCAGCCTCACTGCTCTCTGTGGCTGAGGGGCTGGACTCACCACGCCCTGTGCTCTTTCCACCAGAACCTGAAATCCGTGATAGGGCAGATAAAGAAAATAAAAACTCATAGATTTATCATAGTGAAGTGATTAATTTTTGTAAGGTCTTCACACATCTAGTCCAGAGCTCTTCCTCTCACCAGGTTGATTCCCAGGGACAGAGAAGGCCTGCAAGCGGTGCGATTTCTAACATTCCTTGAAATTTTCTGTGGAAGCCAGGAGTGCCTAATGTCTTGAGAAGAGTATCAACTTCTCAAGAAGGCAGATGGCTTATAGACAGGAAATGCAGAGTCAATGTGTAGAGACCAATGGGAGGGTAGTGCTGGGGACCAGCAGAGATGTTTCTGAGAAGCCACCACCAGTTGTATGGGAGCAGCATCCCAGCAGGAAGGGAGTAATGGAACTGTCTGAGTCTCCAGGAGAGGCCTTTGTGGTGCAGCTGAGGAGATGGTGGAAGTTTCTGAGGAGGGCTGCTCCAAAGGTGGATCTCACAAGTTATTCGAGGGTTTTAATGGAAAATAGTGGGAAATGGAATAAGAAGGAAGCAAATGTCCGACAGAAGCTATCTTCACTAGTAATGGTTAGAAGGGATGAATCAAAAATGCTAGAAAAAAAAAATGGGTTTAAAAGCATTTTCTTCAAATTTGCTCTTATAAGATTTTGTCCCCAGTTAGGATTTAAGTATTTTGAATTTTGTTAAAAGAGGAAAAGGCAGATCTCAAACAGAAGACTGAAACCTCTCTTGGCATGTAGAAGTTATGGGAAGCTTTGCAGAAGGACCCTGTCTGTGGAGTTGAAGTTGTACCTGTGTGAAGTGTGACTTCAGGGAGGAGTAGGAAAAAAAAATCTGACGAAGTAGGTGGAAGAAGAGAGAAAAATCTGCAGAAGTGGATGAGTTAACTTGCTCTTTTGGCTGAATGAAGTTTTAAATTGCTTGTGGCTGAAAGATACTGAAAGGAGCCCTGGTGTTGCAGTGGTTAAAGTGCTCGCCTGCTAACCAAAAGGTCATCAGTTCGAACCCACCAGCCGTTTTGCGGGAGAAAGATGTGACAGTCTGCTTCTGTAAAGATTACAGCCTTCGAAACCCTATGGGGCAGCTCTACTCTGTCCTATATAGGGTCACTATGAGTCAGAATTGACTCGACAGCAGTGGGTTTTTAACAGAAAGGTACTGAACCTGTCTGCGTCATCTTTGTGAGTGTATTTCATTCTCTAAATCATTTATCCTGTGTCAGCAACGCCTTGATAATCACTTAGGTGATGTGACTTCTATAACTTTATTTTGAAGACTTATTCCAAGTTTTCAATTATCAGGGAATTGGAGGTCCACATTCAGTCAGTATCTCTGTATTTTCTATGGAAAGATTATCTAGCCCTGGTGGCTACATACAATTTGTTTAATAACTGAAACGTTTACCTTGTTTGCCATAAAACCACTAAGACCAATATTTGCAAGGTATATAGATGGATGATAATCACCAGTATTTCAGGTGGAACCTGAAAGATATAATAAAGGAGCAAAGAAAAATACAGTTCATTAGAATTTGAGAACCATTTTAAAGTCTTTGTTTCTCGGTTTATATATCCAGCTTGTCCCTGTGTCATTTCTTTGGTGCATGCTAATAAAGGAGTGCTAAAAGTGGCCTTCGGTTAGTACAGTAGCCTACTAGTCTGCAAGATGTGAGGGTGCAGACATTTTCAAAAGAGAAGCAGCGAAGTGTAAACTAGTACCCAGAACTAAAAAATTATGCTAAGAAATACTTGTCTGAAATTACACTCATTAGTATTTTTTAAAATTACCATCACTGTTCTATAGTTACAAAATGAATATTTCTTTTCCCTCTAAACAAATGTTTCTGATAGCTGGATGTGGATGACTGGCCTAATTTCTTATAACAGTTCTAAAGTTAAGTTATGTGAAATTGAGAAGGAGAAACTAAATGCTGAATGGGGCCCTGAGAGTAGGATTACTTTAAGTGGCTTTTTTAAATGCCCCAAAGAGTGACTGTTCATTAAGCATTTCTGTCCATTTGCCAGGCATAAATAATAGTTTTTAAAAAGCATACCCATTGCATCTTATTCTGGTGGACTTGGATTCCCAGGGCCCAGCAGGACTTGCTGTTCTGGCCTGTGAGTGACTCTGCCTGAGGGGAGGGCTAAGCACCTGGTCTGGAACACAGCAGCAGCTGTTGAAGCCTCCACTTCATGCTTTGACTTCTTGATCAAAGATGCCAGAATCTAAAAGTGGGGGAGGAGGGAGTTGTATTGTGCATTGATAAAATTGTAGAAAGAGGTGAACCATTTCACCCAAAACTCAGACTGCCCCCCTAAGAGCTTGAACCGCTACTGAGCACACACACAATCTAAACTTGAGCAGAATCATGCGTCCACTCTGGAGACACAAAAATTGTCATTTTTTTTTTCTTTTTTTACAGGAACAGTGCATTTAGTAATCCATTTGCTAGAAAATACCCAAACGTCACAAAAATTCTGCAAATCTAACTTTCTGCTAACTTCAATTAATGAATACCATTTAAAATTCATTTTAAATTTCAACAGAGCTAATGACTCTGGCCTCCCCTACAAAGATACCACAGGAAGAGATTATTGCAGCTTCTATTTCAATGACTTTTCCTTGGAGTGAGCGCTGGAAGTGTGAGTGAGTGGGTGGTTAGGAAACTGTTAGCAGTTAATGTCGTCTCTGAAATGCAGAACTCTGGAAATGAAAAATATCTTGGCTTCACAGAAAAATGTTTGAATGTTATGCCACCCAGGCATAAATTGAGCAAGGGCTGTGAGCACTACTTCAGTGATACATAATCTTTTAAACACTATTATAATGAAACTTTTTAAAAGATAACTTCGCAAAAATAAATCCACAAATAGTTTTTGGTATTAGCTATAATTAAAGAAAAATCTGTGTAAGATTTTAACCAAACCGAGGTTCCAGTAAAAACCTTTTCCACTCTGCTTAAACAAAGATATAACAAGAAACATTGTCCAAGTTTAATTTCAATAAGATCATCAGTTTGATTGATATCCAATCAATACAGAAGTTTGAATAGATCTAAACTTGTCTTGATGTTAACGACTTATAATCACCTTTATGTTAGGGCTTAAAGCTTTATTATCCTTAGTACAGCTAGCATAGTGGACCATTAAATGCCAGAAGTGATTTGAGATTACATTGATTGGGGTGACAGCCAAAATTTTAAGGTGCCTGAATTTTTATAATATCTTTACACTGAACGAGCATGTAATTTAAAAAATAATCAATATTCCAGTAGAGCTGTCTCCAGCCTCTCTTCTTAGTGCTTTTAAATTCATACTATTTAGGCGCGCACACACACACAAACACACACACACTCCCCCTCCAACTAGTATAAATTTCCTTGCTAAATTTAAGTAGTTCAAAGCCTAAGCTTTCTTAAGGACAGGGAAAAGACTATCAACATCAAACTTCCGGGCAGAGGACGGTGCCTCATACAACCCTGCGTCTCCAAGCTTGACTTCCCCACCTGCGTGGGCCCTGCCGGGGCGGGTGGCCGCCGGGTCTGCACCGCGGCGCAGCCGGCCACCGAGGATGCAGCTTTGTCCCCTCCTGCTCCGAAAGTACTGTTGACTTGGTGACCCGTTTCGAGTTTTGGGCTGTGGCCACCGCGCTCACGGCGCTTGCCATTAGGACATCTCAGTGGGTCCCTCGTGCGTCCCCAGAGCGGGGTGCGGGGGGATTTCCCTGCTGCGGACACTGCTCCGCCGGCCTCCTGGGGCGCTTGTCTCGCGACCTCCGCGGGCAGTGTGAACGCAGCGCCTCGGGGCCATATTTTTGCCGCCCCCCCCCACCCCTCGCAGGGACCCTGCCCGCCCTGCAGACCGGCCCCAAGTTGCCGAATAGCTCAGATGTTTGTCATATTTGCGGTCGCGCGACTCAGCGGGCTGTGCGCGCGCTGCACTCGCCGCCGCCTTTGCCTTTGTCACCAACGGCTTCGTCATTTGCATGAGTATTTTCTGGAGTGTAGGGGATTACTGGTGGTAGTTCTGGTCCTCTGGCCCGAGTGTCCTTTTCTCTCCTCTCCTCTTTTAAGCCTTTCTTTAAGAGAACATAAAGGGCGCGCCGGGCGGACCGGGAGCTGTGGGGCGGCGCTGCCACCCGCGTCTTGCGTGCTCCTCCTGCTCCTTCCTGCTCCTCCGGCGGCCGCGGCCCTGTACGGCATTGATTGCGCCTCCCGGGACCGGCGGAGGAGGGAGCGGGGCGGGGAGGCGCGGGG